AAAAAAAAAAAAGCTATCATTAGGACATGAGTTATCATTCCAGAGGAAGGTATATTTTTCTAAATTACTAAGTTTTTTCTTAAGGAGCTTAATTGTTTTTCAAAAACCCAAATTTACCCAATAGATTTACTTGTTTAATTATATAAGATAGCAAAAATCAACCTAGCCACTATCCTAATCATTAAAATTCTTTATTGGCAGAGCCCTAATTATTCATATTTTACTGAACATGAATCTAAGAATCCATACAATCTTAAAATTTAATATATGCATCAAACTAACAACATAAGAAGTAGAAAATCATGGCATGAAGAAATAATAGTAGGTTATGGTAGAATTTACCAGGGCATGAATAATCTCATGTTTCACTGTGGACAGCATTCCAATAAACTCCTGAGGCTGGGTCGAGATCATATTTGGACACAGGTTAGCGTATCCTGCTATTGGCCTGTTAAAATAGACATTGAATTTTTACTTATATTCCATTATTTATTTAGTACAATATTCACTAATGTACATGTCTCTGTCAAAAACTGCTCAAGGACAAAAAATATCATTGCTAAATATCAAATGTAAATTTGCATCATAACAGCTTACTATCATTTATTATTCTCAGGAATATCACATCAACACCTGGTTCCACAAAAGTATGTGGTCAGTTTTTTATACTTTAGTGTGAATTGTTTTTTTGTTTGTTTGTTTGTTTGTTTTTTCAGTTTTGGCTGGGGCTGGGCTTAAACCCACCCCCCGCCCCGTATATGGAGCCAGTGCCCTACTCCTTGAGCCACAGGTGCCATCCAAGTGTGAATTTTCTTTTTGAGACAGAGTCTCATGCTGTTGCCCTAGGTAGAGTGCGATGGCGTCATAGCTCACAGCAATCTCCAACTTTTAGGCTCAAGCGATCCTCTTGTCTCAGTTTTTCTATTTTAGTAGAGACGGGGTCTCACTTTTGCTCAGGCTGTTCTGAAACTCATGAGCTCAAGCAATCCACCTGCCTTGGTCTCCCAGAGTGCTGGGATTACAGTTGTGAGCCACCGTGCCTGGCCCAAGTATGAATTTTTAAACATGTCAAAAAATACCTAAAAAATGAATGAACCAAAAAACTTACATTCTAACACTATTTTACTTGCAGAATCAAATCTGACTTAAGCATGTTCTACTATATTTATAGGACATGCAATATGCAAACTGCTCAGCTTACAGAGAGCTGCTGGTCCTTCTTATCTCCATCTTGCTGTGCACTCTCTGCTATACCAACACTGCCTACGTGCACAGAAAGATTTTTACCTTCCCATCATATAGAATTCTTTCTCTTTCTCTGTGCCAAGAGCCCTTAGAGCCCAAGAGAAGAACTCAGGACCCAGAGTCCAGAGTAATTCAATCAGTTCCACCATGTACTTACCTGTCTTTCAAAACCTATGGCAAATGAACAATGCTAAGGAACCTTAAGATCCTTTCTCCGACCACGGAAGTATCACAGAAATATCACAATCCTTGTACCACCAAGGTACGATTATCTACTTACAAAGAACATTTGCTTTATTTATTTATTTTTTTTTTTGTAGAGACAGAGTCTTACTTTATCGCCCTCGGTAGAGTGCTGTGGTGTCACACAGCCCACAGCAGCCTCCAGTTCCTGGGCTTAGGCGATTTTCCTGCCTTAGCCTCCTCAGTAGCTGGGACTGCAGATGCCCACCACAATGCCCAGCTATTTTTTTTTGTTGTTGCAGTTTGGCTGGGGCTGGGTTTGAACCTGCCACCCTCGGTATATGGGGTCAGCACCCTACTCACTGAGTCACAGGTGCTGCCCCATTTGCTTTATTTAAATTTTAAAAATAAAGTACACTTTGTCCCTATTTGATAGCAGTAGATTTACACTTAGAAAAAGTATGATTGGCTCAGTGCCTATAACTCAGTGGCTAGGGTGCCAGTCACATACTGGAGCTGACAGGTTCAAACCCAGCCCAGGCCTGCCAAACAACGACAACTACAACCAAAAAATAGCTGGGCATTGTGGTGGGTACCTATAGTCACACTGAGGCAAGAGAATCACTTAAACCCAAGAGTATGAGGTTGCTTTGAGCTGTGATGCCATAGCACTCTACTGAGAGCAACATAATGAGACTCTGTCTTAAAAAAAAAAAGATGTATGATCATAATTCACTTATCAAAACATTGCCATGATGACCTCTAAAATATAAAATGGATGCCACTGTAAGGCTTACAACCCTTCAGGGACTTCCTACAGAGGTTACAATAAACGATCCTGTCTGCCTCTCCAAGCACTCACCCTCCAACAGTATCTACTGAAGTGACTCCTGACAGCAATAGGTACACATGACTTTTTCCTAACATTAGCTCTTCCCTCCCTTCCTCTTTATTTGGCTAAAGCATATCAATGTTCAGGTCACAGCTATAATTTCTCTCTCTCAAACAGGCATTCCTTGCCTAATTGATCTAAATGATGCTTACCTCTCTTTATTCTCTTTTACATTATAGCATCCTGTTTATTTATTTATTTATTTATTATTTATTTATTTTTGAGACAGAGCCTCAAGCTGTCACCCTGGGTAGAGTGCCCTTG